CCCCGCGGCGGCGGCGGGCCCCGCGCGGCTGCTTGCTGCTCCCAAGCACCTCGGCCCGGTTTTCCAACGTAAACTACTTCAAGAACCCTTGCGATAACCCTTCACAGAATTTCTGGTATAGCTGCTTTTGCTAAATTAACATGGCGTTTATGAACATGAAAATTAAGATACCATTTTCCTCCTCACAAGCTACCTATTCACCTCATTTGGAATGGGAGCAACTTGTAGCTATGTACCTAAGAAACTATTTCATCCTCTTCTGTCTCCCAAGATCACATGAAATGCTACAGAAAAACGTCTTACACTCCTCTTTGTCTCGTTATTTTTAGAGGTATAAAGGTATAATGCACAAAACTGGCAGGTCAAGTTCTGCTGACACCTACATCCTCCGCCTCACAGGCACCTCTTCTTCTCTTTCCAGAAGGAGCACAAGTCAAACCTTCTCTCCTGCTAATGAGAATATCCTTATCTTTCCAGAGCACTCTGTGCCCTTTGATCTGTATTTCAAGGCATACAAGGTACTACGTCACTATAAATAAGCGACAGTTGACCTATGATTCACAGTTTAAGTAGCTACACAAAAATCTCCGGAAAGTAATCTTGCTCCCACCTGCACAGGTCTCACAGTGAACCAAATACACGTTTGTTTGCTGTTGTTCCTTTGCTGAAAAACAGATCTCAGATAACACTTTAGATAAACAGAGCCACATTTGCATCTTAGCTGATCCAGCTCTCCATGGGAGAATACTGCAGAACTACTTTCTCTAGACCACAAGTGGTATCTTCCATGCTGGGCTGGCACAGAGGACTGATTCCTTTCCCTTCCTAAAGGAATGTATTTTTTCTAAACAGATAAAGGAGGTTGCAAGTTTGGGAGGTGGATGGGGGGTGATGAGGAATATGAAGAGATTGACTTATTGCTATTTAACAAGCAGGTGATGACAGCTGAGCAAGACCAGGAGGATGAAACGGACGAATTCATCTGCTTCCAAGAGGAAAGTAAGAAAGTTCAAGTAAATTCCTATTTCCTACAATGCTTCTAATACATCACAGTTACACACAAAAAAACTGAGAAAAAAGGTTCAGACACATTCTCTGCCTTCCAACTGAACGAGATTTTTAAAAAGTACATTGAAATCAGGAACCATTCTCTGCTACAGTGGAAAGCAAATTGTAACCCACCAGTAAAACACGGATTCACCCTATGCTGTCTCTGAGTAAAGGTACCCACCTTTGAACAGGCCTGTCCTTAACAAGTTGCACTGCATTGCCAGATGAAGCACATCCTGAAGCCCTGCACATTACATTCGCAGGCACCTCGTCTGCACACCTTACCATCATGACAGACTGGGAAAAACTGAAAACCCAATTTCCTTACCTAAATCAACACGTTCCTCACCCTTCTAAGGAAACAATAATATATCAGCAAAGGGGACCATAGATTAGAAAACAGCTAAATACCAAAGAGAAATTTAAATTGAGTGTGACTGAAAGGTAGCACCAATTAATAAAAAAAAGTTAAATGGTGAATTAACAAAGTGAGCAGACACAAGCAAATATGAAAGGAAGAAAGCTATGAAAATGGAGGGGAATTGACAGGCATAACCTAAAATCTAAGTGATTTCTCCATCCCTCGTAAATCAAGTGCAAGAATTTATTCACACATTTTAACTGACATCACTGAAGCATGTTTCATGGATCTCTTAAATGTACATGAGAGTATGAAAACTGACTAAAGTTAGATCTGTACTATTAAATACTGAAGAAAGCATCATGAAGCTAATAGGAATAATAGTTTTCAACTTGTTTTTAATTTTATGGATAATTTTTACCATCATTACCAACACTAGGTTCATATACTTATGTGTTACTTTTATTAGATTAAGTTGCAAATAAATTCAAATTTCATATTGGCTACTCTTAGACACACTTACAGCACTTTTTTTTAAATGCCACGTATATAAATATATCCATGAGACTCAAATCCTTTACAGTAGAACTTGCACAGATAACAGTGGGTCTTACACACATACCAAATTAATAGAGTGTGAAACTTTGGCACTAAAAAGGTAACACAGCTGGTGTCTTGTCTTCTAGACATATACATGACAAGGTGATACACACACCACAGAACTGATACAGCACGTATTTTCATTAGCTTAGTGGCCACGCAAACACCTACACTAAGTAAGTGAAGCTAAAAGACAGATATTTTCTTTCTTTTGCTCCAATGTCACGAAATTCAATAAGCTTGATGGTCACATTAAAGTGATGTTACTCTTAGGTAGCTACTGAAGTGTATTACACATCTGAAGAGAAATGTTCAACATATTGGATCTGTGAAAGAATAAAAACACTACATACCTTGTCTATTCCCATTCTCTTCATCCTAAGGAAAAAGAAAGAGTAAAATATTAAAAAATCCAATAAACAGAAAAAAATGCATAGGCATCTATAAGCTACTAGGACTTGAAGTGAATTTGTAAGATTAAGTCTGCATTCTGGTATCTCATACTTTTTCACATTCAACTTCACATTAAGGCTTTCATTTTGATAACGTAGTGAAATACCTGTTTTTATAAAAAAAAAAACTCAACAACTAAGCACAGTTCCATGAAACATCTTCACAGAAACAATACGAACAGAATTATCTGAAAACAAATGTACCAAAACCCCCAGAACACTGTCATGAAGCCTTATACTGCACTGTGTGTTGTTGCAAGCATGTTTCCACCTTGAAACCCAGACACGAGAGGTTATACTTTAACCATCTAAGGATTCAAAGCTAAGTAATATGCAAGAGACACAAAATATTTTGTAGGTAAACTCTGAATATGCTTCCTGAAATTTGAAATATCGAGGATTTTTTGCCTTCAGTACTATTGTCTAGAGAAAAATACCTACCCCAAACACTATTTAGTAACAACCTTGAAGATTCTCATTCTGCTCATTGCACTATATATAAACAATCCTAACTACCAGCTATCACTGACAGTCCTTACAAAAAAAAAAAAAAGAAAATAAATCACACAACTGGAATGTACTAAGGAAGAAGAGCACGCTTAAAAGAGAAAATGATACTTAAGTTACTTTCTTGTCAATATTTACATAAGAATGAAAGGCTTTTGAAACATCATGGCTAATCTCTTCTACAAAATTCTACCATTTGAAAAGCACAGTTGTTTATTTATGGAAACACATGCTTTCTTACTGATCCTTAACTTTATGCAGTAATAAACTTTAAACCTAAATACAACTTCTTGGACTAATACATATGATTTGGGAAGTATTTCTAATAATTCACCTGAGCTAATGAAAATACCTTCGTCCTGAAGGAAAGAAGGAGCAAGGAGACGATCACAGAAATAATCTTCAGCTGTATATTCCCTCCTACTTTTAAATGGATTCATTCCATTTGAATGAAAGGTCTTTTGCATTTAAACACAAATCACTATCTTTTTCATATTAAGTATTTTTAAAGCAATTGCACACTGATCTGCGCAAACTATTCAAGAGAGGAAGACTTGAAGAAAAAGAGGGAGTAAGACCTTGAAATGAACGCTATAAAATTATGAGGATGAGACAAATCTCTCCTAGGTGCAATACATTTCCTATGAGACATACGAAAGTTCTGCTGGAGCTTTGTAAAATACTACATAAAGGTTAACTTTAAGGAAGAAAAAACTAACAAAAGAAACCCCTCTCCCCAAAAATAGAGGTAATAGAGATCTGATACTCATTCTGCTTCTAAAAAGTCATGATAATTACCATTACCACCCAAACTTTGAGAGCAGCAAACAACATATCCTTAAGTTGGACAGTCCTGTCCGCTCTATACTTTGGAAAAAATACCACACTAGTAGACAAGTACTGTTAAAATTTATTATTTTATCTCTTGAAGTCCTGTAACAGCCAGTTCGTTTTCAACTACAATCACCCAAAAGAACAGCAGTGAAGAATTAGACAAGGCTAACATCTGCATGTCTCTAGTTTCCACTCAATCTGTCAAGTCAAAACACATCTTTAGAACTTCGAATATTAGAGCTCATAGTCTGGAAAATGTGGGTCACATGGTGAAAAGTGAAAAGTGAAAAGTTAGCTAATATAGAACTGCATTATTTATGAAATACTGTTGTGGGTTTGTCAGTTTGTCACCCGGTATGCAAAGCTCTGTTATAAAAGACAGCTGCAAAACATTAGTTTTTCATGGTATCAAGCCAATGAGCTCAGGCCTTCAAAACTGGAATGCTTTATAACGCAAATGTTTTGGAATTAGCTTTCCCTCCCACATTTACCTCTTACACACTGCAAGATGTTAGTATATGCTGCTTCCATATCCAAAGTCATTTTCTTTTCCTCACCTGCTTGCTTCTCAGACTGATCGAACTTGGAGAATGAACTTCATATGCAAAAAATAGCGTGATGCTGACTAAAAAAATCCCAATAAACATCTGTTGTTAAAAGCATGATTTAATGTAGGCTTTTTGCAATGGTAGCTTAAGAAATCTTCCACACACTCCCTATTCACTTTCTTAAGAGAAAGAAGGCACGGGAAGCAAGAAGGATACCTAATGAGTTATTCCTGAATGTGCAGCTATTCCCAGTTCAGTATGTGGCCCCACACAAGCACAGCCAAGTACTTCTGCCAAAATGAAATGTGTTAAACCACAATCTCAGGTTCCAAGATCATCTTTCACACCGTCCTTCACACAGGGCTGTCCCTCCCAAAAGACCTACCAAAAAATACTTTCTTCCATAACCTTTCTCTATCATTATGTTTAAAAATTAGTTAATAACAACTACAATGAGAAAACAGTCCCTTGATTTGCAGTCAATTAGCTGTTTTGTGCAGGAATCATTAACAGATACTAGAACTTCACACAATATCCTGAATTTGATTTGGACCTGCAGTACTATGTACATAGTAAATGTTAAATGAAATACATTAAATATAATATAAAAATATAATATATATATATATACACTAAAAAGAGAAATAGTATAGATTAAATACAACATACTAGTATTTGGTAGGAAAATATGTGGAGATATTTCCCTGAATTAATTATAACCAATCAATCATGTTCAATCATTTCGACAACAGCAAGAAAGGTGTGTTTTCCAATCAGATGTAAATGTCAATGAGAAAACAAAGCTTTATGGATACCCTGCATATGCAGTTGTGCGGGTCACTGTCACTTTGTCACTAAGGTATCAAGTTTTATTCTTACAACTCAGCCTGCTTATGCAAGCATTACACAAGCGTGTTTCACATCTAACTCGAGTGGCCCACAGTGCCAGTTAGGGAACTGGTCTACCTTGTAGTTTCGTGTTCATGACAGCAGAGTCTATGAAAAGCAGACGTCAGCTTTGTACACGTAAGGGTAGAAACATCTGCAAACAAAGAGTTTACCCTCACCAAACCCTAAGTCCGTTTATTAACATGACTCCACTCATTTTACTCAAGTTTTGAACAGTTCTTTCTTTTCAGAAAAGAAACAGTAGCATCACTCAAAATAAAATGAAAGTTTAGCACTGTTTGGTTTTTCTGATCAGCATTGAAACAAAAGAAGCCCTTGCTGAAGTTCCGCAACATTTAGACACATCCATGAGATGGACCAGATAGCTAGAATTTGATGTGTTTGATGGTAAGCTGGACTTTGCACCAGCACAAGTGATCCTCATTCTGTTAAACTGGTGCTTTGCACTTGCTGAATAATAGGAGAAGCCTCACAGCTCTCCCCATATTGAATAGCAAGGGTAAAGCGTGCCTCCAGTCCGCGAAACATTAAGGAAGGCGTCACCCAAAACCAAAACGAAAATCAACCGAAGATAATTCAAGACAGATACTGTACTAAAAGACAAGTGTGTTTTAGACAAGCGTGTTTTGGGACTCTAGACAGCCAAAGCTTTGAGGCAGATCTGCCTAGACCTACTCCTTGTAGCAAGCTCCCAGGGCAACTAAAAAAAAGGCTTTTCAACTGAACGTAAGATTTATCAGACTAACAACTAGAACACTGGACTTCTTAAATTTAAATAAAAACCCAACACATGAAATGCATCTAAGGCAGAGAATAAGTTTTTAAAGTTTTTTGTAGAATAATGTCCACTCTTCTCCACTCAATAGATCCTTTGGAATACAGTTCTTTGCTTCCAAAAAAATTCACCTCAGTAGCTTTCCAAGCTGCAGGCTTCTCCAGTCTGTAGGAAGCTTTTCTTCCCATTCTCATGGACTATTCTTACTTTACCACATCTTGCAGTCTAGGAGCATTATGTTGTTTGTCTTTGAGACGCCCGATGTTCACCCCACGTGAAAAGCGTTGTCCTCCTCTCCCCAAAGTTTTCCACCTGACCTGTCAACAGCTTGTCAAACACATACAAACTGCAAGCAACCAGAAGTAGCACTTATAATGGAGAAATTTTCACTAGATATTTCTGAACTTGAACCAAGAATAGATATTTAAAACAAACAACAACAAAAAAAAACCAACAAAAAAAAAATCCAAAACAAATCACCACAAAGAATGTGGAAAGACTGATTGAAGGAAAGCTTTCAGATGTTTTTTTCTCTTTACTGCCTCTACCAGTTTCTGTTGACTTGTAGTAAGATTTAGAGATCTTGAAATCTCTAGGTGGCACACAGCCAAAGCTTAAAGATGCCATTGACATAATAGCCAGTTACTCAATCCACTACTAGTTTCTCATAGCCATAGTCCTTTTGTTATCACAAACGTCAACCTAATGCTGTCACAGAGGTCCTCTCACCCCAGGGAAGGCCTTGCATTCTAGCTCCTTTGATTGCTTTCAAGGAAGGGAAGCAACCTCTTGCCGGGAGCAATAATGTTGAAGATCGTTCTTTTTTTCTACTACTTTATGAACATTCTTTTCAGCAGAAAGAACGTAATATAGAAACACAACTCATCTTTCTCATGAACATTAATTTTCGGATATTTGGTTAGAAACCATAGTAAACTAATGTTTTTCCAGGCTATTCTCTTAGTATGATGGTATGACAAATTTCAACTAGGGGCAGGGGGGGAAGAGGATAGAGGAAAAAACACAAATCCACAAACCAATTACAACAAAAAAAGAAACACCCAGGCCTCCTACCCTTAAACTCTACACTTTAAAAAGCGTACTGATTAATGACACTGGCTTTGAGTAAAATATTCTGTACAGGGAAGCATTTCCATATTCTGCAAATAACCACTGTTTTTACTCATGGTAACAAATATTTTTAAGTGAGCTCATACCCAGTCAATTCCATTTTCTGTGAACAGATCAGTGCACAGTTATCAAACGATGCACTGATGTGAGCCCACCCACCTTACAAATAAAGGACCTTTCATCTGTGCAAGACACATCTATACATACATTCACTTTCAAGCAAGCTAGATTTTTGACCTTAAAAGTATAATAAAGTTATATAAGTGATTCACCATTAATTTCACTTACTTTAAAAGAAAACTGAACTGCAGATTCTGGAGGGTAAACTATGAAGTGTCTTAAGGTGAAGCCAAAACCCTGAGATGTCCTCCTTAGCACGACAGTTTTGGGACCAGGCCAAGAGAAAGTTTCTTCTTCCTCCGATGGTGACATAGCTTCACTCTGCTCTTTTCCATCTTTATTTTTTGATGCCTAGAACAAGAGAAACACATATAGAAGTCATAATTTGGATTATTATTTTTAAAAATTCTCATATACTTGAAAATATATTTTCTCCCTCCATAACCAAAATAACTTGATGATCACTAATATTTTCAAAAGAAATTTGTACTGTAAAGTAGCATCTCCTACAGCATTACACCTCTGATCATATCATGTACAGAATTATTCTGAAATTTTAAATAGAATCATAGAATCATTTAGGTTGGAAAAGACCTCTAAGATCATGAAGTCCAACCGTTCCCCTAATACTGCCAACTCCACCACTAAACCATGTCCCTAAGCTCCACATCTACACGTCTTTTAAATACCTCCAGGGATGGTCACACAACCACTTTTCTGGGCAGCCTTTTCCAATGCTTGAAAACCCTTTTGGCGAAGAAATTTTTGCTAATATCAGATCTAAATCTCCTCTAGTGCACCTTGAGGCCATTTCCTCTTGTCCTGTCACTTGTTACTTGGGAGAAGAGATCCGACACCCACCTCACTACAACCTCCTTTCAGGTAGTTGTAGAAATCTATTGATAAAGTCTCCCCTCAGCCTCCTTTTCTCCAAGCTAAAGAATTCCACGTCCATTGACTACCCCTCGTAAGATTTGTGCTGTAGACCCTTCACTAGCTTCGTTGCCTTTCTTTGGACACACTCCAGCACCTCAAAGTCTTTCTTGCAGGGAGCAGCCCCAAAACCGAAAACAGTTTTGAGGTGTGGCCTCACCAGTGCTGAGTTCAGGGGAACAATCGCTTCCCTAGTCCTGCTGGCCACACTGTTTCTGATAAAAGCCAGAAATGAAGTTAAGTATTAAGAAAGTCAATGTGCAACAGTGAAAGGCTCAGATGAATCACAAGAAACAAGTATGGCTTGCATGTTTTATTTGCTTTCTCCTTTACTTAGATACAAGCAGAAGGACACTTTGTGTCTTCTGGGACCTTGCTTCTGGGTGCACATAGCGCACACACGCACGTACAGAACCAACTCCTCTTTTCCTCACTTACAATGTAGGCATGGTTTTCTTGACTAGTTATCTCCTCACTTAAAACAACTAAAACGAAGTGAAGAACACATGCAATTGGTTAGGCTTCTTCAGCAAGACACACTTTTCCTCTAGTCCTATCTTTGACTTCAACTTTGTTTTTGCCACCCTTAGCTACGTTCTCTTAACGTTTCAGTATGCAAATTCTAAATACACATGTAAAGAGATCTAATTTCCATTTACAGCCCTACTGCAATCTCTCCTTTCATGCAGAAATAAGACATCTTGGTTTTTTTAAGGGTAATTTTATATACAAGAATTGTATTTTACAAAAATATTTATCTTCTCAGCCTGATATGAAATCTTCCATTTCAATTCCCAAAGCGAGCGCCACATCACACATTTCAAATTAAAGGCAGAAGACACACAAAGAAAGCATGCAAAACCCTGTGACCCTCCTCTAAATATTCTAGTTCAACGATGCGTGAAACAAATTTAGATACCAGAGCCTATAGCCTATTCAAAGGGTATTCAAACAGAAATAATAGTCGTCTTGTCCTTCTGTAGCTCTGCTGCTGTGGCTCAGCAACTGGCTGATGAGTGTCAGAAATTACTGGCTGGTTTTCTCCCTGGGCTGTTCCAAAATAACCCCTTTTGCTTCAGTCTTACAGCTGGGATCTCGAATTGCAGTGCTTATAGGCAAGGTGGGCCCAGCCAATTCCAATCAACATCCATAGAAAAGGAAAGTAGTTCCACTCTAACCACAATGACAGCAACAGATACTACTGTAAGGAAAATATTGCAGCTGCTTGGTGAGATAGTTAACACATCAGAACAACATTCTGCATTCAGATACGTAAAAAGCATGATGCGTTTCTACACAGATGCTCTGGTTTGCCCTCGGAAACCCACACCTTGGTACATCCAACAGGAAGGACAAGGAAATACTAGCCAGTGCTTTAAAGACCAGCCTCCCTACCTCCAATAATCCTGCTCTTCAGCAAGGAAAAACATGCAAATGGAGAAGGGTCTTGGTGCTACAATCAAGCCAAGAAACGGAGCCACTTCTGGAACCAGAAAACGCAGAGAATCCAGAGCAGCCCAACAAGACTCTGCTCTTCTGAAAAGCCTGGAAGGATTATCAGCAGAAATGAAAAGACCAATAGTAAATATAAAGGACTCCATCTCAGCCTAGTCTGTCCTCACCTATCATCTTCATTCATGTTTTGAAGTGTTAGTATGAAACTGAAAAGATGGTGCAATTAGATGACTAATGAATGAAAAACTGGAACTGTGCAACTGCCAAGATTAGTGGCTTTAAAGTTCAAGCAATGCAAAGATTAAGGTAAAGTTACCTAATCCTTTAGCTGAAGGATAGGGTTTGTTATTGAGATGTTCCCATCAATCTGTTTAGCTTCCTAACATGACAGCATTTTTTTCAGTTCTGAGCAAATAAATGTTCCTTCTCAATCTTTCAATCTCACGACATGAGCAGAAACCAGAGCCAGAAAGAACATTTTGATCCTAGTAAATTGGCAAAAGAAATAGCTCCTAATAAAAAAATATCACTGACCTCTCAAAAAATGACAGTAATTCCCTTCATTAAGTGACAGGCAACAATCCACCTATTTAACATTCCCCTGCAATCTTTCATTGCTCCTCTTTTTATAGGCAACACGTAATATAGAAGTTTTGAACAACTGTAAACGACTGCAAGTATCATACAAGTACAAAAAATTTAATACGCAAATGTCTATCATTATGGATATGTAAACAGCAACCTTAAATGTAGCACTGAAAAAAAGAAGTCTGCAATATACTTGCATCTTTTTTTCTGACAAAAACCTCACTAATTAGCCAAAAGATAATTTTAGTGTGTAAAACAAATGATCACCGAATTTTACATACAGCTGCTCAAAATCCAGCCATACAGAACTTCACAAGGTCTGAGAAATGGGAGACGCAGCATTTGATTTTAGTGAGGAAAAAATCTTCTAGTTTCCTTGTAATTTCACGTAAACTTTTAGCATTCACAGGAGCTGCTGAACTACACAACTCTTCATAAACAATGGTTCTCCCCCATCAAATCATTATTTCTTGAAAGGGCATACCAGAAGTGAAAGGTTGTCATCACGTCATCCTTGGACCTCCTGCGAGGTGTGTGAACAGGGCAATAGAAAAAGCCAGTATTAATAATAAATATAAGATATGTTCAGTAACGGTAACTTTCAGTCACACTACGAAGAAGAAAGAATCTGCATTATAAAGAAAAGAGAGTCAACATCTGTTGAGTCACCCTGTGACATGTCCAACTGCAGCACACCCACCAGAATATCCCTTTACAGAGAAGGTTTTAAAAGGAAAAAGAGAAGTTTTCAAAAACACAAACGAAACAAGGATGTAAGACAAGCAAGAAACAGATGTTTAGCATAAGCAAGAATATGTCACTGAAGGCAGAGTTCCTATCTGGTTTTCCTTGCCAACCAAACCCGATAACAATCATGTTACAAATATAGAAATATCTCATATCCTTACAGTGATTTGTCTTTAGAGTAGACTCATTAGCATCTCAAGAGAATGAAAAATAAATGCGCTTCCCCCCCTCCCAAATAAAATCTAACAAACCAAAGATTATTTTGCCATATCCCGTACTGAAGATCTGTATGTTTGTTCCTCTATAGATTCAACGCTCAAAATCGAAGTAAGAATGCATACAATCAAGTTAAAGGACCGAAGAATCCCAGGCTACTAAAAACGATCCAAGCATCATTTCCCTTAGGATTTCTTCATACAAAGTTTCTGCACACATCTCAAAGCGTCATTTCCTGCTATATGCAACTACAAGGACATATAACAGATGCTTGAGTGCATTGTAAAACACAAACTTTGTTTTGAATATGCATTTAACCCTTTTTTCTGAGCAATTAAAGCACCCATGAAACAACAGATGGTACCTTAAAGAACTACACTAATCACTGTGAGCTTAATACAGAGTAACAGAACTATGTGAAATCAGTAAATAGCACTGATGTTTGTAAATTATTTTATTTCCAACTAAAAATAAATCTCAAATCAGGATTTTCCTGTTGTATCAGTCTAAAAAAATTAAAAAAGGCAAACACACCCAACTTGCATACTTTCCAACACTGCTCTGATTTTTAAGCTTCTGAACAATCTACAGACAGACCTATATAGAGGACGCTAAAAATCCTTAAGTGACAGTCATAGGTAATTGCAATACAAGCCAACTAGGGGACTTACCTATCAACATCTCAAAAAGAGCACGATGGAGATAGTCTGTGCTAATCAGGGCGTACCTCAGCTGCATTCAGCACTAGCGTACCAAGAAACATGATCCCTGAAATAGGAATTCTGCTAGATGGATATATGCTGAACAGAAAATGGGCTGATGTCACCTTGTTTTACTGATTCAACAGCCATCATATAATTTATTTTTTTTTTTGTCACTACTGACACAAGCCAGAGGCAAAAAGGATCTTGAACATAGTTATTAATGCCTAAAATCGCACCAGGATATTCCAAATGCTGCAATAAATGTGAGGCTTACTTGAAAACAAGTGGTATTTCTTGTATCAGGTCATTTATTTTCCCTAGTTTTTGTATCCAAGTAGCTATCAGTTAGTTAACTGCGCTGTTAAATCTGAAATTTCAGAGGAAAAAAAATAAATGCTTTTCTAACATAGTTTTATCTTATTTTACATGAGAAAGTATAAGGTCCTTTAAAAAGGTAATGGGGAAAAAGGTTCTTTCTGGCTAAGGTTATAGAACAGGAGTTAAAAACCCTACCTATATGGGCAGGAAAACACTTACCCACAGAACAGCAGGTTTCACCACAAAGTCAGCCTTTGTTTCATTAATAGTCAACTTCTTCCAATCATGATTTTCAAATAAAGTTATAACAAGCCACTGACCCTTTTAGTCTTAATCATACTTCAACTCAACTTCAAATTGCTTTGCTAGAAGCTGACAAAAAGTCAAATG